TCATGGATTTAATTGAATTTAACAGCAGGTCATTAGAAATTTATCATACTGAGAATAATAGTAATTGCAGAGCATGGTTTAAAATTGCGCAATATGAGGCCCGCCTTTGCGCAATTCTAGTAAAAAATGCTTCGATGCTTATGCTTCGAGTTTTTGTTATGAGGCTTGCGCCTCAACTTGGTTGAGGCCCGCCTCGCATCACTAGCATGAGGCGTACGCCTCACGCAATATATATTAAAACTTACATAAATCTTAAAGTAAATGCCCGACATTGGACTCTATAGGAGAGGTGGAAGGGGAGCGAGCAGTTCATCATAATGATGATTCAAATGAAGAACCCCTTAGTGATGACAGTGCTGATGACTTATGAGTTCTTATGTGATATGTCATTGCTATTTATTTTTAGAAATTGGAATTATATGTTAATGAAAAGAATACTGGGATTTGAGAAAGATAGAATTTTGAGTTGAACTATATTTCATGTTGTCTTATTATTGGGATATTTTGATTTCACTTCATATCTTATGCTTTTTTTATGTTTTATATTATTCACTCATTCGTATATAAAAAATTTATCATTTTATATTTACGCAATCTTTTGATTTTGAGCCTTACGCCTCAAAACGCCTTGAGTCTTGCAACACTCCTATTAGCAGACAGAAGGCGTCTACGATCTACAATGCATCGCCACCGGATCTGCAACACTGATACAAGCAGACAGAAGGCGTCTACAACATTCTTATTCGGCCTTTAAGGCCTTCAACAAAGAAAGTTCATGAACAAAGGCATGAAGCCTAAAGAACCCGATCCTTCTATACGGATCAATAGGAGTCGACAGGGTTCGAACTATCAAATAGATACACGGTTGTAGCGACCAGTGTATTTGTTTAAATACATTCTTTTTAGGCCTTCAATGCCTAAAATTAAGGAAATTCATGAACAAAGGTGGATTCAAATTTGTCCCCTTAGACAAATATTCAGCTCAGGTCTACAAGGTCCCCTTGGACGAAGCAACCCATGGCTGCCGACAAGGATCCTTCTGTCAGGTTGGGTCGACTACCTCCTCTGACTAAGTAGACCAGGGACCACAATGGCCCGGGACGACGGAACCATGGGATCTTGATCGGGCCCATCATCCATTCCCCCACCATCCGCTTTAAGTGAAAGATGGTGCAATTCCTATTTTAAATATTAAATCTTTCAATCCAAAATCCAAAAACCCAACTCTTCAATTCCCAAATCCAAACCTCCAATCCCAAATCCATTGCTGCTACTATATGCCAGATAACACGTATATTCTACGTATCTGATTGATGACTAGCCTTAATCGAAAGTTCTCTCTCGTGATCGAGAGGGGTAATTAACTATAGGGGCTTGCGCCTATAGGAAACTAGAACTCAGATCATAAAGTCTTCGCAAGATGAGGGCGAAATCTCTGGGTAGTGTCTTATCTACAAACCCATCTGCCTTCCAAAATTTACCTCGGAACTTAGTTAGTTAAAACTCCCTCGCCGAATAAGAAGAGCGAGCGGAGGCCGGGGCCGAATTTTCGGAGCCCACAATGATGCCATGCTTGTTCCAAACAAGGTTAGTTCCTCTTTTTTCAACCTTATTTGTGGATTTCTAGGGCCTCTAAATTCAAGGAATGATTTATGTCATTACATTATTAAGTTAAAGGGCAAATCAAAATAACTATAAAAAACAGAATTTGAGACTCTTCAACCATTCTTAATTGTCTCTATCTCTCTCCTTGTCACAGCCTGAACTGATATAACCCACAAACGGATAGGTTATACTGCATTGAATTGTGATAGGCCAGACCCAAGATCTAAGTTTCAGAAAATTCTTTTCACGTTTCTTTATTTCAAAATTTAAAACATATAACATAGATTTTATTAACTTTTAGAAAGCAACAAATAAGCTCATCCACAAGTTTTTATTCTTTTCATTTATTATCAAAATGTATTTACAACATTTACAATATAGTGCATAGTTACAAACCCGATCAAAACAAATAATAAAATAACTATTCATGACGGTATAAAAATAAAAAAAAAATTATCTCTACATAGATAAAAACCTGAACACTCAGCTAGTCAACTAACTCTTTCTCCTTTTCCTGACCTGAAACAAAAAACAGAGTATGTGTGAGCCACACAGCTCACTAGGTCACACCCGTCAATCTGGATTTTCAAACATTTTATTTATCATGGATTTAATTGAATTTAACAGCAGGTCATTAGAAATTTATCATACTGAGAATAATAGTAATTGCTGAAACTAAATTAAAATAGACTATGAATTGAAAGTAAATATATAAGCATTTTATATGTTAGAGCAGAAAATAATATATTTTACCTTAGGCCTTTCTATTTCTCATTAGAAACAGGCCCTTATGACTCCCGTGCTGACTTATAAGAAAACATACCCTTATTACTCCCAACGTATATCACATATCAGATATTCGAAATTTCAAGTCTTTATGACTCATTGTGCGCATAACAACAAAATAGAACTTCCACCACACACCAGATCTCCTTAGAACCACACCATTAAAGCATATAAATATATAATTCATTGCAATACAGTAAAAGAAATATAAATAAACTAGTTTTAGAAGTTCACAAAATGCGTTAACAGCACACAATAGAACCATCTAATGAGTAGATTTTTCATAATTTCATAATATTACTAGATTATCAGAGCTTGTTCAAAACCTTGTTTTGAAGCTTTAATTGTACAATAACCTTATTTTAGATATCAAATTATTTTCTAATTTATAAAACATCTCATTTTTTTCAATTTACTTGGTAAAACTTTTCCAGAAAAAAACTTAAATATCCAGAACAATTGTATCTATAACATACATAAAGTTTCACTATAAAAATTTTGCAAGTACAAATTTATCACAGTTATTCCTTAACGAATTTATAATTTAAATTAGGAAAATTCCAAAATTTTCGTATTTTTAAAAATTAAAATAGGCATAATGTAATCTACCTTGATCCGGACAATTTCCTGAATTTGGCCAACAACATAAAACATATTAGAGTGGCCAAAACCGGACCGGAGACGCCAAAATTGGACTTTCTCACTCTAGAATTCTCTCTCTAAAAAGAATTTTAGGTTTTAAGTTAAATGACATAAATCGATTCGAATGTTTTTTATAAAAAATTGACTTAGTGCCATAGCACTTGACCCTGTAGTGTTGTAGCATTATTTCATTTTCTAAAAATCAGTTGTGTGCTCAATGCCATAGCGCCGCAACGCTATCAGGGAATTCCACATTTTCATACATATGCAGACAGACTATCAAGATCCACTTCATAATGTATTTAGACACACTACGACATACATAACACACAATCACATGCAGAAGACATGAATACAAAGTTTTCACTTATCAAATCAAACAGGGTTATAATAGTTGCTATCATGTACAAAATCAGTAGGTATTACAATCTTTACCCCCCCAGGTTTTTGGTCTTGAACAATAGACACAACATGTTTAGCCAAACCGGTCTAATTTTCATTTCATAATCTTTTTTATTCAATGCAAAATTTATTTGTTCTTTTTAAATTTTCTTCTTGCTTGAAGACACAACACTTGCAAAAATGGATGATATAAGTTATGAAGTCTGCAATCTGTAGATTGCACTTACAGGCTTTCTATAATGGTGTTTTTTTGTTCTGTTTTTTTTTTTTTCATTGGATATTAATAAGAAAGAAGGAATGTCCTTTGATCCCACTTTGAATAGATATGTTTCATGGTGCATAACAAGAGATGACTTTCATACTTACATGGATAACTATAATTTTTTCAATCGATATTCAGCTAGCTTTACTGGTATTCTTTGCCATATAAGTTTCGATTGAATGTACTAACTCATAAAGCATAAGTTTTTTCCCAATGGGAGAGTAACTTATGTTGCTCGATTCATGCCAGGCATTTTTTGGATATCAAATGGACTTACCCGGATGATAATCTTAATGAAACAGATTTAATCTCTTTTGCAACCCATTTCGCTTGCTTAGGTATGATAAGTGATTTAAATTAATTGTCAATTAATGAATCAATTATTGGTAAAAGTCACAAATCTGAATATGAAGTAAGCGGCTTGGTATATTTTGGAAAGTTAGTTTGATCAAATAGAGAATCCTTTTGTTTTCATAGTAGTTATTCTTGAAGAGCTTTTATTAGTGTGGGGAGGCAGTGGAGGTGGCAAAAAGTAGATGGGCAGCACTAGCTGAAAATCTAAGCTTATCAAAAGTTGGTCCAAATTTTTTAAAAATTTTCATTTTTTTATTGTATTACAATATTACTAATGATTGGCACAAGAGCAGTCTCCATGGATAGTATGTATGGAGTTATTCTTGATGGATCAAATTGGAGAATAAAGAAGTTCAAATGAATACATCCTAAATAATTTGGCAACCAATTTGATCATTTTCTCCATAGATTTGGTTCTACCTAATATTACAATTCCAATGTATAAATGAATGTTGAAGAATAAGTTGGAGACTAATTATTTTTATAGGCATTTAATCTCTTCCATCATTAGTAATTGAACCTTCTTGTTTTTCACTTTGGAGTTTTTACTTTTTATGAAATTAAACTATGCTTTTGATGAAGGGAATTGCTGTCAAATCTTCCTATTTTTAATTTGCAGGATTTACTTCAATGTTGAGTAATTCATTTTCTTCTAACTAGATGGACCCTTTTTGTCTATTATTTTAATTTCCATTTTACCTATTCCTCTTTTGCTAGCCCACGTCTCAGAACCTGTCACTGTTTCATACTTCTTTAAACGAAGCTTGTAAATTATGGTTTTGCCTTCTACTTTGTTGAAATTTAAACTTTTTTCCACGCGCTGTTTTGCTTTGCTATTTAAGGCATCAAAGAAAGCGAATGCATTGACGTTTCTCTCAACCTCCTGTTTAAATGAAGATCAATTTAATGTGCGATTTTTTGTTGACAGTAAAGCTTTGTGTCTGTGTAGTTGAACGTCGAATTGCTGCAATCCAAGCTATCCAAGAAGCTGAAGTACACAACATGCTTGCTCGTCTTCGCATGCTTCGATCTTACTTGAGCAAGGAACAGTTGCAGACCCCTGCTTTAAAATTCTTCCAAGAGAACTTGCCAAACCTATCGGTAGTAAGAAATGAGGAAGACAAAGTGTTTGAGCTGAGGGAAAATGAGAAATTTTTTTATAGAAATGGACGTGCTTCAGTGGTTACTGCAGTTGGTGGTTCACTTTTCTCAATGGAATCAGGTTTGCATAGATTCTGGTACTCCTTGTAAATGTCCTTTGTTGGATACTAAAAATTTTAAATTTTCTGTTGGTTACAGTAAAACAGAGTTTCCTAAACGCAGATGGCCTACAAATCCCTGATTTTGTAAGTTGCGTTATGACCTGTTACCTTAAGATCTTATTTTTGTCTCTTCACTTCCTTCTTAAATTGAGATGCTTGTGTCATTTTAATGGCTGGCAGGTTCTAGATGGTGCATTAGACACTCAGATGTCTCAGATGCTGGGTGTGGGACAGGCTTTCCAAACTCCTGGGGTTTGTAGCTCTTTCATCTTTATTAGGATGCTGCTTTTAATGGTTTATTAATGAGAAATTGTATACATTTCCCAGTAGTTTATGTTTATGTGATAAATAATTCTAACTTTTATATTTTGTCGTAGGCAATAGATCATCTCATTTTGTCAACAAGGACAGATGCCTGAATTTTTTTAAGGCTTCATGTGGGACGTCTTTCTTACTATTTCTTAAAGTGACTTTCTAGTTCAAAAATTAAAATTTTAATACTAAGAAACTGCTTTAAGAAGCAGTAAGAAAGCCGTCTCAAACGAAGCCTAAATCTCTAGTACTACTAATAAGTTCGTTGCTAAATCGTGATTATTAAACGGGTTTGTTATGAAACCTTTGGATGAAGGTATCATTCTTGTAGTAATATAGGATTTCATAACCTCATGTAGCTCATCTTGATCTGTTAGTTGGGAGCTTTATCTATTAATCAAGAGATTTTGAATTCGAAGCCAGCGTATGTGATGTGTGTGTGAGTTTGTCTTGATTAACCTAAATGGCAAAAAAAAAAAGTTTTATAACCTCTTGTAGAAATACTAAGATTTCATAACAAACTGTAATAGTAATAATAGGATTTCAAGAAACATTACTAATAAACATCATTAAATCACCATGGCTGTGAAAAAAATCATGAACTGTTTTCTACCCTATGTTCTTCACTAAATGCTTAGACTGATTTACTGCTGGCCAAGCAATGCTATTTATCATATTCCTTCTTAACATCATCTAGGCTCTAATTTGCTGCTTCTGCATAGCTGAATTACCGGTGATTATCGTTGTCACAGGGCCCAAGCAACCGGTCATCCTTCACCGCGCCGCCAACGCCGAGAACTTCCAGACTGCCTAAGCAAGGAGAAATGCTTCTTTCAGTTCATGGCTCGCCGCTGGGAGTTTATAAGGAAGATCACCTAGAAGCAATTCATGGTTTATTTACTGTTTCAGTTCCCCCAAAATTTAATTAGATTATCAATCATCTTCTTTAAAATGTTTGAATTAATAACTGATTATTTTACAGAATCTGGTGATGATTCTCATGCTGATGCCTCTGGATAGTGCAGAAAGATGGTTCTTTTTATGAGGCCAAAGCTGAATCAGCTGATGCTGTTTTCAGACTGTAGATCTCTACAAATTGTGAAGCGTTGCCAGTTTCCATGGCAGCAAAATCATGCAGATTGCTGTTATATGTTGAATGTAGGTGATCCATCATTTCATGTGATGGATTTTTGTATTTCTCACTTAAGTTCTATAAAATAGTTTGCCTGCTCTAGTGTTTTTTTTTTTTTTTTTTTTCTGTTAAAGATGTGTTATTTCCTTGAAGTTAGAGGTGGATGGAATAAAAAAGTATTGTTCCTCATCCAAAACGCCCACACACACAACAGCGGCAATTTGGAGTTGTATGTACGCTATCACTGGCAGGATTAATTATTCTATGTAGATGTCGAACGCCGTCCGAAGACTAATCAGAATGTGTCACATCACCCCTTCGCTCAGCTGTGTAGATGTCGAACGTCGTCCGAAGACTAATTAGAATGTGTCACATCACTGCTTTGCTCGGCACTGCGGCTCGGTATTGCTCGGTATCGTAGCTCAGTACTGTTGATGTGGCGTATTATTGTTGGTCTCTGGACGATGTTTTGTGACCGATCTCCTCACAGAATAATTTCTCCACCGGCAGCGGCTTGCTGATTGGCTAAACGGCCTGAACGAAGCCCATTTCGGCATTTTTAGAATCATGGAAGTGGGTTTATATGCGTCATTTTTGCACTGACGGGACCAGCCAAGTTTCTATGGTGGTGAATGTAGAGCAATTTTGAAGAGTTTGGAGTAAATTTTTTTAATATTTCTTGATTCGATTGCTGCACAAATTTTATGGAAAGTTAAATTATAATTAAGAAGATTTTGTTTAGTATTTGATGCTCAGGACGTGATTGGGCACAAAACTAGATGCATCATAAAAAGTCTGGTTTTAGCAAACTAATGAAAGCCTTAATAATAAAAACCTATCTGCATAAAAAGTGATTTGACATGGTTTCAAATGAGCTTAAATCAAACATTTAAATTGTAGTAGATTTTATGATATTAATTAGATGGCAAAATAATATCACAATTTTATATATTTATAGTCAAATTGAGTCGCAGCGAGCCAAATTTAATGAGTCCAAAATAGTCTAATTTTGATCTCAATATGGCAGTTAACTAATGAAGGAATTATTTATAATTAAGAGTTTTAATATTGGTTGTCTAATGAAGTGTTTGAAATTTATGAGGCAAGCCCCTACTCTCTACATCAAGGGGGAGGGGGATTTTGGACCTTCAATTGAATTAAAGAGCTCTTAAAGAAAAAAAAAAAAAAAAACATAGAGCTCCACTAGAGTATCACCACAAAGCCATTGCTCGTGGTTATGATTAATAGATTATGTCATTCCTATACTCATGTCAAGTGCAACAATATAGGGGTGTCAATATTTAACATGACTTGAAATGCTGACACGAATCTAACTTGAAAGTTTTTTTTGTCAAATCGACCTGTTAGAAAAATGGGTCAAGTTTAGACTTATATTTTTGACATATTTCTAATTTCGGATTTGGTTGGGGTAACTGCAAAAACTTGAAACTGACCCGAGTCCTTATCTTGCACTATGCTGCTAAAGACCCTGCCCTGTGCTCGCTTACCTCGCCCTCTTGCTAGACCCCACAGCCAACTCTTGCATACTTGCACTGACGTTCTCTTGCCACAGTCTCGCGATTTGCGCTTGCACCCGTGAGTTAGTGGGTCAAGTCAGGTCAATTCGAATTAGGGTGAGTTGGGTTCGATTTGAATTTTTGACCCATTTATCTAATTGGGTCATGTTCGGGTTATAGTAGTTAAAGGCGAGTAAGTTTTCTGGTTAAACATGAACTTGACCCAAAAACCTATTTTGACATCTCTAGACAAAGGAGGCATACCCCTCTCGATTCAGCCGTTGATTCAACAGTTCCAAGAGGTGTTTTAGCCACCTCAGGGATTGTCATTGCAGAGGGAGCACGAGCATGCCATCATGTTGAAGGAGGGAGTGTCGCCCATCAGTGTCCGACCTTAATGCTACCCTCAGTTCCAGAAGGATGAGATAGAAAGGTTGATTAGAGAGATGCTGGAGACAGAGATCATCAGACCCAACATCAGCTCTTTTTCTAGCCCTGTTATGTTGGTGAAAATAAGGATGACAGCTGGCATTTTTGTGTGGACTACAGAACATTCAACAAGGAAATTGTACCTGACAAATTTTCTATACCAGTCATTGACGAGCTGCTAGATGAATTGAGTGGGGCCGTGTTCTTCAACAAGATAGACTTGAAATCGGATTATCATCAGATCCGAATGAAGAAGGAGGATGTACCCAAAACGGCCTTTAGAACTCATGAAGGACATTATGAGTTCCTGGTGATGCTGTTTGGCCTTACCAATGCTCCAGCTACTTTCCAGGCCCTCATGAATAAGGTTTTCAAACCTTATCTCAGATGATTTGTACTGGTATTCTTTGACGACATCCTGGTCTACAGCAGGACAGAAGAGGAGCATTGGGAGCATTTGAAGAGGGTGTTAGTGGTACTACAGGAGCACAAGCTGAGGGATAATTTGATGCCGTTTGGCCTTGTATCAATCTTATCAGTCGCATCATGTTCATGTATCGATCATATCTTATATTATGTATATATCATAGTATATCATATCACTTACACAATTTATTATGTATGCTCATGTTATCTGCATATACAATCAAGATAGAACCCTTATCTACATGTAGTATATTTCCTATATCACACCCTGTAGGCCAACCCTATAGGAATCAATTTCAATCATACCAGTCATATTGTCATGAATCAATCTTAAATCACATGTGACAAGTCAGGTGACTTTCATGTAATAAGTCATCACTTCATGCACATTAGCATTATTGATGTTCTATGTTGAGTAGTTAAAGACATTTTTCCAATCTAAAAGCTTTAGAGAAGGATATGGAGTCTTCTTGTTTGTAGAAGAGTGTCTAAATTGTTTGTAAGAGAGAGGAGGTGAGGTTGAGAGAGATTTTTCCTTGAGGGTGTCAAGAGGTGTGAGGGTTTCACATGGTTGTTCTTGTCATCATGCACTTTAGGTCCTCTATGTTATGGTTATGTAGCTCTTGGAAAGAGTTCAAAGGAAAAGTCTTTAGGGGAAAGATTTACTAACTAAGGATGCTAGGGGATAAAATTTTCACCTTAGTGAGGAGTTGAAGGGGGGAGTGACATCTCCACCACGGGAGAAGCAAAAAGAGGATTTGGCATCTCCATTATACAAGGAGCAGAAGGATGGAGCAACATCCCAGCCATCCCAGGAGGCTGAAGAAGGGAGAATTTTTTAGGTCAAAAGAGTGTAAAGATCATTCTCCACCTGGTAAGGGAGAAGAGTTTCTTAGTCTAGTTGAGTTCTAAAGGAGCGTGAGTTAGAATAATACTTAAAGAGGAGAACCTTAATTTGGAGAGAGAGAGAGAGAGAGAGAGAGAGAGAGAGAGAGAGAGAGAGAGAGAGTGTGTGTGTGTGTGTGTGAAGCAATAGTGGAATGTAGAGAAAGAGAGAAAGAGAGAGAGAGAGATAGAGAGATATATATATTGAGAGAGAGAGAGAGAGGAATGGAAATAGAAACCAAGTTTGCATTTTTTTTTTATTTTCTACACTTTATTCTAGTTTGGTTTTGATTATTTTTGGGAGATTTATGGTTGATAATATATTGGTTGAAATTTTGATTAAAAGTTAAAAATAATTATTTTTCTAAAAGTTTAAAAAATAAAAAAAAAATCTAAAAATATTGAAAAATAAAAATATTTTCTTTGTGTTTTTTAATTGAAAATATTTTTTAAAACTTCCGCACATTACTTTGATTTTAAGAAAAAAGTTTAAAATATTAATTTACCTCCCATTTTTGTGTGACATAACACTTTAAGTAGCTTGACTACGCCGACGCATGCTGAGTTTGTCACATATTATCATCAATAGCCTCGATGTATGTCATCACCTATAAAGCTAATGCACACTATCGACACTAATGCTGACCTCCAATATCTGCACTTAGTCTCATATTGAAGTTCATGGCTCGTAGTTTTCTCTCTTCAAAGGAAAACAATCAAACATACAATAAACGATGACTGAAAAATAGCTCCCCATGTCACAAGGCTCTTCAACTTATACTACAAAATCTATTATATGCAGTTTATGTTCACTATGTTGTATCGATATCTTCCACAATCATGGAGACGTATATGTAAAACCCCTCAGAAGCTGATTTTTGTGAGTGCTGTTAGTCCGGACGAACTGACTTTAGTACGGGACGAACTGAAGAAAATTGTGAAGAATCTGTCAAGTTCGTCTGGACGATCCTGTAAGGGTCGGGACGATCCGTCGGGACTAAATTTGTACCGAGAGCAAGTCGTCCAGGGACGAAAACTGTTCACGTCTGGACGAAATTCGTCCAGAGGACAAATCGTCCTGGGACGAATTCGGATCGTCCGGGACGATCTGAATGGATATATATTGGATGGAGATATTTTTGATCATTTGAAGAGAGAGAAAGAGAAGGTAGGAGAGAGAAAGATAAGGAAAGAGAAGGAAAAGTTTGATTTCGGAGGCCGCGGAGCGCTTTTCATCCGACGATGCAGTTGGAAGATTTGTTTATCTCGCAGTAAGGAATCCGAATCCTATTTCTGATTTCAAAGATTTTGAGTTTTGGCATTTTTCTGCTTAGTTTTGTGTTTCCGTTACCGAAAAACGTGTTTATCTTTGTGTGGACGAAACTTTTACCGCGTAACTTTTGGTATGTTTTTGAGATGATGATTCTGCATATTTTGAGTATTTTCTGGAAAGTTTTTACCGGATATTTTGAGTTTTGTGTGATTTTTATCGAATAGAAAATTATTTGGCTGTTGGAAAGTCTTGCTTCAGTACAAGTAAAGCTTTGAAACGTTGTTTTATTCGATTTCTGGTAATTTGGTACGTTTCGAGAATTGTGTATTTTTTTGCAACAACTTCTGTCTACTATACGATAATTTCAGGGATTTTCGACATTGAGCTAGATTGTGTTTATTGATCGCAATACCTTGTGGATATGTGATTGAATACTATTACTTTACTAAAAGACAAGTGAAGACTGGTTGAACTGTTAGTTGGAGATTGATTTGACCTGTACAGGATGGTGGGCTGACGGACTTTCCATTAAAAAGGGTTTGGTGTTATTCTCTATGGATCATGGATACAAAGATTGGGA